CCGGGGAGGGGAGGTGCTATTATTATCTTCATTTTACAGTTGAGGAAACTGAGGCAGACAGGTGAAGGGATTTACCCAGAGTCACACAACTAGTATCTGAGGCCGTATTTACACTGGGTCTTCCTGATTGCAGGTCCACCACTTTGTGCACTTTGACTCCTAGCCTCTCTTTCCTTTGACGAATTGTGAATTCACCTCTTCTCAGGTTTGGGGTTGTCCCATTGAAGTGAGCCTTTTGTTCTGATTAAAGTTCTCAACTTCAGGGTTCCAGTAGCAAGGAAGGTCCATTGTTTGGGAACTTTGTCAGCAGAGATCTGCTCAGTGGGCAGTTGATCTCCTTACTGACCTAACTCAGAAGCTGGGGATTTGAGTCAATACCAGCCCATGCAAGTGGGGACCAGAAGCCTGGACTAAGTGAATTCACACCTTTTCAAACAGTTCACATTTGAACTCTGGATCTGAGATTTAAGGAAAAGACTCTATCTGGATTTAGCCTAGGGCAGATTAGGTACTGGGGCCCTTTGGGAATTCAGCCCTTCCAAGGATTTTGCGGTCAAGCAAGAGATGAACATGGTCCAGAAACACACCAGTCAACTCATGCTGCCCTGGAAAGGTTGCCAGTGAGATTTCCAGCAGAGTTGACGTAGCCCTATCCCAAGGTACAGAGAGTTTATCCCAAGCATGGTCAAATGTAGGGGCAAGAAGTGATCTGGGAAGAATGAAGCAGTAGCATCCTAGGTACACTTGGGTGCATCGGAAAGCTTGAAGAGAGAATGGCAACTGTATTGAGACATTTATCTTGAATAAAGAAATCTTGCAGGTCATAGAATGTCAGAGCTGGAAATGTCCTTAGAATGTAAAATGTCAGTGCTGAAAGGGACCCTAGAACATAAAATATCACCACTAGAAAAGACAGGAGGACCAGAATTCAAATCTTTTTTTCTACTGCTTACTTGGGGCAGCTAGGGGACGCCATAGTGCATAGAATGCCTGGCCTGGTGTCAGGAAGACTCATCTTCTTAAGTTCGAATCCAGCCTCAGACATTTACCAGCTGTGTGAGCCTAGAAAAGTCACTCAACCCCATTTACCTCACTTTTCTCATCTGTAAAATGAGCCGGAGAAGGAAATGGCAAACCATTTAAGGGTCATGGAGAATCAGATGTGACTGAAACAACTGGACAGCAGCAAGAAACTGCTTGCTCTCTGTATGGCAAATCACTTAACCACTCAGGCATCAGTTTCATCATCTGCAAAATGGGGGAGGAGGAGTTGGACTTAATGGTCAGTCAGGTCCTTCTGAGCTCCAAATTACATGGTCCTGTTTTATATCTCTTTTTAGGACAGGTACCTGCTGATCTCAAGGGCAGGGTCAAGATCTGGAAAGTTTGAGGGTGTATATGTGTATATGTATGTACGTATATGTGTATGTCTATATATAATAAATATATTATACAATCTATAATATATTGTGTATAAATATATTACACGTATATGTACATATATACATTGATGTGTATATACACATGTATACATACATATATAGCCTTTTCCTCTCTATAAATATGCTAGAAACATATACATTGACAGATGTCATTCTCCAGGTAAAGCTGTGTACATCCAGTGGTCCAGGTGCTAGACTGTCTGTCACTCTTCAGAAGCTATCCAGCAAATAAGCTTTTATTAAGCACTTACAGTGTGCCAGGTACCTCACTAAGCACTTTACAAATATTATCTTATTTGCTCCTCACAACAACCCCGGGAGAGGAGGGGTATGTGCTGTTATTATTCCCATTCTACAGATGAGGAAGCTGAGGCAAACCAACATGAAGGGAGCTGCCTGGGTCACTCGACTAGCTAGTGTCTGAGGCTGGATTTGAACTCAGATCTTCCTGATTGGCTATATCCACTGTCTCATCTAGTTGCCTATCCTCAGTGCAGTTCAGGTCCAGTTCTCCAGCGGTCACTTTCCAGATGTCCTTCCCCAGGTGTTATCTTCTCTGGGAGATGCTCGTTGGGTGTCACTCGAGTGTCCCCGTAGGTATAGCTTCCAGTTGCAGCTGTCTAGATTCAGCTCTCCAGGTACTAAGGTCTCCAAGCTTCATTTTCCAGGTGTAGCCTTCTGGGTACTAAGCTCCCTGTGTGTCACCTTCTAGGTGCTAAATTTTCCAGTGTCACTCTACCGATAGAGGTTCCAGGTGCCATGCTCTCTAGGTACTAAGCTGTCCAGGTGCTAAGCTTTCTAGGTGTCACTGTACAGATAGGGGTTCCAGGTGAAGCTTTCAAAGTTCCATGCTCTCTAGGTACTAAGCTGTCCAGGTGCTAAGCTTTCCACTGTCACTCTAGAGATGGAGGATCTAGGTAAGTGGTCATGGTTCTATGCTCTCTAAGTACTCAGCTCTCCAGGTACTGCCCTTCAGGTGATAAGTTTTCCAGGCGTCACACTCTCCCAGCCATCAAGTTTCTAAGCTCCCCTGGTGCAGCTGTCCAGGTGCTAAGTTTATCAGCAGTCACTCTCCAGGTGTTTTTCTCCAGATGAAACTTTTTAGGTGAAGCCCCCCAGGTGCTAAGCTCTCTCCCAGTCCCTTCTTCAGGTGTAGTCCTTGGACTTAAAGGAGTTTTCTCTTCCTGTTGAGGCTGTCATTGATAATGACCTGAGTGTGACCTCCTTCTCTTTTATAGTCACTGGTTTACATGGGTGGGTCTCAGTGCATTATTTATCCTTGTCTCAGGTCTCTATGACTAAGGATTGCACACTCACTTGAAATCACTGTAGCCTTATGGCCTGATCAACCCTTCTGGGCCTAAGGCATGGGCAGAATGAAGACAATGAAAGGGAAGCCCTTGTGGTGTGTCTGAACACAGGACTGACAGTTGGGCAGACCCGTAAAGAAATACTGAATTGAATTGAATGCAAGATGGTAGAGAGGATACATGTGATCTGGTAGGAAGTAAGTGGGAGACCTGCAAAGGCTTAGGAAGGGGTAGTGGGCCCTCCCTTTCTCTCGTCTCCACTGAAGGCTCAGCCAGTGAATGTTTGGCTCCAATTGTGACATTTGTCCATCGAATCCCATGACCACCCATCATCCAGGTCTTGCTGATTCTTCCTCCAATCCATCAGCCTGCAAGCATTCATCACATGCCATCCATGTTCTAGGCTCTGTGTTAGATTCTGGACAGTATAAAGACAATGAAAAGACAGTTCCTCCACTCAGGGAGCCTACATTCTTTAGGAGAGAGTAACACACCATTAAAGTAGAGGAAAAATCAGTGGGAAGTGATTTGTCAAGCACTGGCAGCTGGGGGGAGTCCAGGAAGGCTGCATGTAGAAGGTGGCCCCCGAGCTGAGCTTTTGGGATTCTCTGAGGGGTGAAGGATGGATTGGAGAGGGGAGACGCATTAGGATCATCTCAACTCCATCCCTTGGCTGTCCTCTTCTCTCACTTTGTACAGTCACTGCAGAAGTACCAGTACCATTTGAATTTGCATAGTGTATTTCCACATGAGCTGCAATTGATGACCATATTTTTATGTTATCATGACGTTCAGTGGTGCTAGTTCAACTCTGCATGACCACAGAATTCATTATTCACACCACTGGAGATCAGGTTGTACTCTGAATGCTCTCACTACCTTTCATCTGGATTATTGCAAGAGCGTCCTCATTCGTCTGTCTGGTTCTTCTAGTCTTTCCTCTCTAAATCCATCCTTCCTGCCAAGATAATATTCTTAAAGCACTTCTCTGACCATGTCACTCCTCAGCTCAAGAAGCTTCAGTGGCTCCCTACTGCCTCTAGGATAAAATATAAACATCCTGGCCTGGCATTTAAAACCCTTCACAATCTGGCTTCTCCTTTTCTAGACATGTCACATGAGATTCCTCTAGAGGCAACTAGGTGGCTGAGCCTGGAGTCAGGAAGATCCAGATCCTCAGACATTTACTAGCTATGTGACGCTGGACAAGTCACTTAACCTCTGCCTGCCTCAGTTTCCTCATGAATTGTTATGTGTCCAATGAGGCAATATTTGTAAAAAGCTCTTAGCACAGTGACTGGTATATATAGGTGCTGTATAAATGCTTATTCCTTCCTTTTGCCTTAGAGGCACGAGCATTCAATTCCTGGCACTTTGAGAACTATGGGACACTTCAGATGGGAGTCTGAAGACCTGGGTTCAGATCCCTCTTCTGAGACATCCTTCCTGTGTGACCTTGTGCAAGACACACACCCTCTCTGGGGCTTGGTTTCTTCATCTGTGAAAATGAGGGGGTTGGGTTAGATGGCCTCTGAGCTCCCTTCTGGCTGATGTTCTTCAATGTGTCTTGGTCAGAATACCTGAGGTCTAGTCCACAGCTTTTGCCATTGGCTTGCTGGCTGACCTCAGACCAGCTTCTCTGAACATTTTTTTTCCCACCATCTATCAAATGGGCATACTGACCCATTCTACTCCATCCCCACCCCTGGGTGCCCCCAGGCAGTGTTTGCCTAATGCCTTGGGCTTCTTGAAGAGAGGGGCAGTGTAAGGAGGGGGAGGAAGTGGAAGATCCAGGCTGCTGATACCTAGCATCTGGCAGCTCTGGGGAAGAGGAGAGATAACGGAAGGGGACAAGGATGTGTTCAGCAGACAATTCCACTCAGAACTAGCAAAGCATTTGCCTTTTTTTTTTTTTGGTCTCTTCTCTTCCACCCCATTAAATGCTTGGTTAGATTTCCCGAAAACTTGGCACCTGGGAAGGCTGATAGAGTGGGTGAGGTGAACATGTCAGTTTATCCCTTCATGCAAGTGGTGACCTGTTGGATGGGGAGGGGGAGGGCTAGGGAGGTGGGGAGAGACCCAAGGAAATATTTGGGATGACTTGAGGTTGGCTGGCCCTTTAAGAAGTCTGTAACAGGACACCTCTGGTCCCGAAGAAGGGTAGCTGATGTTTCCATTTCTCCTAAACTGACTGTGTGTGTGTGTTTTTTTCGCCCCCCTTCCCTCCTCCCCCTTTTTCCTTCTCCAGTCCCAGTTTAATCTGCTCACCAACACCATGGATCAGAACAGCAGCAGCCGCGCGGCCTCCACCAGCCCCTACAATCCAGAGCACTCTGCCAGCGTCCCGACGCACTCTCCCTACTCCCAGCCCAGCTCGACATTTGACACCATGTCCCCTGCGCCTGTCATCCCTTCCAACACGGACTACCCCGGCCCCCATCACTTTGAGGTCACTTTCCAGCAGTCCAGCACCGCCAAGTCAGCCACTTGGACAGTGAGTTCATTCCTCCTTCCCCTTCTTCATCCCTCACTTTTGAGCTCTTCGTCCACATCCCCTCCCTTCCACTGGTGCCTCTCTTGGGCATCCCTGGACAAGGAGGAGGGGTCAGGATGGAGTTGGGAACTTTAGCATCGTCTGAGCGAATGAAGCGTTATCAGATCTGAGCTGCAGACTCGTCTGTCGGCCAGTTTAGCTTTGATTCACTCCTTCTGCCTCAGCAGCTGTTTGGGGCAGTGGGGTAGGGAGGGGGGAGGAAGAAAGTCCTATCTCAGTCCCACAGCTGAGAAGCCTAACGTCATAGGGAGCTTATGATGAGAGCAGTTAGCAGGGAGAGCCATTCCCTCCACCTTGAAGCTGCTAGACCCCAAGGAATGAATTGAGAAGTGGGAAGATTTAAGAGGAACAGATTTCTAACTAGTAGAACTGTTTGATGTGGAATGGGCGAGTCATTTAACCCATTTGCCTCAGTTTCCTCATCTGTAAAATGGGGATAATAATAGCACCTACCTCCCAGGGTTGTTGTGAGGATTGAATGAAATAAAACATGTAAAGCATACTGCCTGGCATGTAGTAGGCACTATGGAAATGCTAGCTATTATAATTTTCATATATTTTATATAATTTATACATTATATTTATATATTTATATTTTTGTTTATATTTATACTTCTATATGTAATATAATTCATAATATATTGTATGCCTGAGGAGCTGAGTGGCTTATTCTTCACTAAAGGGTTTCAAGAGATGGTGCGATGCCTACTTGTCAGATACTTTGCTGTTGAGATTCCTTCGGGGTCTAGATTGGATGCGATGACCATAGAGGTCCCTCTCAACTGTGACGTGATGAGATTCAGTGGGATTTTCTGAGCTTTCTTTCCATGAAGGTCTTCAATAAGAGGCTGAGGGACCACTCACTGGGGATGATGTCAAAAAGAATCTTGTTACCTCCATGGCTTCTGAGGTCCCTTCTAAGCCTGAGGTTCTGATGTTTGATTGGTGTTTGTTAGCGTGCTAAGGTGGAAACAGTGATGGCTTTGGAGTTAGGGGACCTGGGTTCAAAATTTACTTCTGTCACATGTTTACCGAAACACTTGGCTATGCAGACAAGTCATGTTTCCTCTCTGTGCCTCAGTTTCCTTATCCATATAGTCAGGCAGTTGAACTAAATTGTCTCTGAGGCCTCTTTCAGCTCTAAAATCTGAGGTCCTCTAATCCTAATAAAACTTATTTTGCTGAGCCTCAGTGGTCCCATCTGTAAAATGAGGGCATTGGACTAGATGGGCTCTGAGGGCCCTTCCAGCTCTAGCTCTGTGATTCTCTAATGCTATAGCCCCTCTTGGTAGGTGAAGGAAGGACATCTTGGGGACTTTGGAGAGACCCCAGATTAGAGGCTGGTGGGGGCAGGTGATGACCTTGTAGGGTGCAGAACCAGGAGAGTGCTTGGGGAGCGACCAGCAGCTCCCATCCCCTTTGGGAGATCCCAGGTCTTGCCTTTTGTTTACTTTCCTATGTAAATGACATGGACAGAGACTGCCCAGCACAGAAGAGCCAGGGTCCCTCCTCTGAACCTCCAGCCCATTATGTTGTTTTGCAATTCTCTCTACTGGGGGGTTCTGGGGAGGCAAAGCTCTCTCAGGTAATAAGGGATCAGGCAGGGGGGGCAGTGGTGGAGTTAAGCAGGCGGGCGTGGAGAAGAAGGGAGACAGCAGGGAAGGCTGCCAGAGGAATTCAGCACCCGGTGGCTTCTCTTCCAAGGAGCACACGACGTCTGTGCTGTTGCTCCCAGCACTTTGCTCTTCACTGTCTCAGGGCTGTCTGGATTGAGAGAGCCAGGTTCTCAGAGCTGTGTTTTCCCTGGCAGCTGCCAGAGAAGACAGCCGGTCAAACGCAAACATCAGAGAGCTCTGAACTCAATTACTCCCCTTCCTGTCATTACTGATGCATCTCTTGGGACGGGCTTGACGTGTGGTCCGAGATTTGCCAACAAATGTCCGGCTGAAGCGGGCTGGCAAAGTTCTAAGTTGTGTGGTGCTCACGAGTGTGCACATGTGTGTGTGTGTGTGTGTGTGTGTGTATCTGCCTGCCTGTGTGTCTCTGTGTGTCTCTGTGTCTGTGTGTGTGGTCAGTCTTAGCTCTAGAGTCCTTTTCTCTCAGAATAGAATCAATTAGCAGTCAAGGAACCCAGCATCTATTAAGTGCCTGCTGTATGCCAGGCACCGTGCTAAGATCTGGAGATTCAGAATCGAGTGAAAACAAAGACATTCTATTGGGGAAAGATAAAGTGAATGCATATGAATATACACAAAACAAATACAATTAATGAGTATTTATTAAATACCTGTCAGACACTGTGCTGACCAAAAATAAAAGTTCAAGCTTACTTTCTGTGATAAGAATAACAGCATAGATAGAACAAGGCCACCACATAGCTCCTTGGGGTGGACCCAAACATGCTGGCACCTATAACAGTATCAAAAGCAATTATAATACACCAAATATAATAGTCATAACCATATAGAGAAAGCATAGCATGGTATAGGGCTTTGGACTTGGAAGACCTCGTTTCAAATCCTGGCACCATCATGGCTGTGGGACCCAACCCAAGTCAATACATTAGGGAAGGTCTATATAGTTAACAGAGCAGGTGATCATCAGCATTGGTGGAGGGAGTTTCATTATTGGGAATTCTCTATGATGAAATCACAGGTCTAGCAACTCCTCCCCACCCAATACCAATGATTAAAATAATAATTAGAGGTGAAATTTGTATTATACCTAATAAGCTAATGTCTACATAGCATTTAAAGCATTGAGGTGGTTGTTATTGTCTTTCGTTCTCAAAGAGGACCATGACATCAGGAAGGTGATGCCATGACTTGCAAGTGAATTGGATTGAAGTGAGGCAGGGCTGTGCAGTGTTACCAGCCTCACTTTCTCCTCCAGAGCCATCTGGGTGTGGTGGCAAGATATAGATCAGGATGACTGGAGATGGCCCCCAAAGCAGCCACATAGCTCAGTGGCTAGAGCACCAGGCCTTGAGTCAGGAAGATCTGACTTCAAATTCAGCCTAAGACATTTACTGGCTGTGTGATCCTGGGCAAGTCACTTTATCTTGTTTGCCTCAGTTTCCTCAACTATAAAATGGAGATAATAATGGCATCTACTTCCCCAGGTAGTTGTGAGAATCAAATCAGAAAATATTTGTAAAGCACTTAGAAGTTCTGGGAACATTCGTTGTTGTTTTCGGTCATGTCCAACTCTTAATGACCCCATTTAGAGCTTCCTTGGCAAAGATATGGGAATGGTTTGCCATTTCCTTCTCCTGCTCATTTTTTAACAAATGAGGAAACTGAGGCACATGAGGTGAAATGACTTGCCTAGGGTCACACAGCTAGTAAGTGCCTGGCACATAATAGGTGCTATATAAATGCTTAAGATCGAAGCATACTATTTTCTCTCTCTCTCTCTCTCTCTCTCTCTCTCTCTCTCTCTCTCTCTCTCTCTCTCCCTCTCTCTCTCTCTCTCTCTCTCTCTCTGTCTTCTTTTTTTTCATTTCTTCTTTCTTGTGGTTTTTCCCTTTGGTTCTAATTCTTCTTTATAACATGACTAGTGTGGAAATATGTTTAATATGACTTTATATGAATAGCCTATTTCAGATTAAATGCCATCTTGAGGAGAGGAGAGCAGAGGGAGGGAGAGAAAATTTAGAACTCAATCTTATAGAAGCAAATGTTGAAAACTAAAAACAAATAAAGTCATTAAAAAAAAATAAATGCTTAAACTCTTCCCTTTTCCTCCTTAAGGCTTACCAAGAATGTTACATCCATAATTTTGTTTGAGACTCACAACAAATTTGTAAGGTGGGTGCTGTTATTATCCCCATTGTACAAATGAGGAAAATAAGGCAGATAAAGGTTAAGTGACTTACAGTTAGTAAATGTCAGAGGCAGGCTTCAACTCAACGGCTATATCTATATCTATCTATATCTGTATCTATATCTATATCTATATCTGTATCTGTATCTGTATCTATATCTATATCCATATCTATATGAATTTGGCATGTGAGAAGGACCTAATAACTGGAGATCCATTTCATATAGGCAATGGTGCTTGAGCTGAGCTTTGAAAGAAACTAAGGATCCTAAGGAGCAGAGGTGAAAAGGGGGAGATCCATTCTATCCTGTGCAAAGGATTAGATCCCCATATCTAATCAGTCGCCAACTGTCTCCCCATATCTCTCATATCCATCTCCTTTTCTCTCTTCACTTCCATCATTCATCACTTCTTGACCAGACTATTTCAATAGCTTTCTAACTGGTCTCACCCCAATCCATCCTCCACACAAATGCCAAAGTGGTTTTCCTGAAATGTGGGTCTGATCATTTTAACCCTCTACTCAAGAAACTTCAATGGCTCCCATCACCTCTAGAATCACATATTTCCACTATTTTAGAGTTCTTAGTCTCCTTTAACTCTCAAATGCCATCTTTAGCATGACACCTTTCCTTATTCTCCCAGGTGCTGGTCCCACTGCTCACCATCTTGTATTTATGTTGTATATATCTAGGAACTGTCTTCAATTATTGTATCCTTAGCAGAGTGCCTGGAACATACTAGGTGCTTTGTAAATGTTGGTTGGTTGAGTGATTGATTAAAAGGGACATGAGGTAGACAAGGTGTAACAACAACTCCATAAGGTAGATAATAATGACAATAGAATAATAGTGTTGTTCAGTTGTATCCAATTTCCCATCTGCTTTAGGGACTTTTTCTCTGTTCATATTTTTTGTGTCCCATCTAGGTGTGTACTATACCAAATATCTATCTAGTCCCAACCCCTGGCTGGTCCTGTGCTCACAGCTGCTGATGCATCAGTCTCCCAAAGGTTCCATGAAACCTCCCTCTGGTATCTATTTCCCCAGTTCCTTGTTTCTGTCATTATATCAGGGATTATAGCTCAGCGGCCATCAGATGGCCCCGCTCCAAGA